AAAAAAAAAAAAAAAAAAAAAAAAAAAGAAAATAGTACTGGGGGGGCTGTTTTATTTTGGTAAAACATTAAATGGCTGTGTGTGTTGTGCTGGAAACTGAGAGCCTTAGCTCTGAGCTACGTCTCCAGCCCTTTTTATGTTTTGAGGCAGTGTCTCACTGAATCACTAAGTTGCTCAGTCTGAGTTCAAACTTGTGATCTTCCTACCTCAGCCTCCCTGAGTTATATATGTATTTTTTCTTGTATTGTGCTGCAAACTGGCATGGCTCTTGATGTTCCCTGGGAAAAACGGCGAAGGGATGGAGAAATAAAACATGAAAACTGAGGTCAAGTGGAGCCCTCTGTCCAGACAGTCCAGGCGTTTGTTTATTTTTTGTCTTTTTGAGACAGGGTCTTGCCATGCAGTTCAGGCTGGCCTTGAGCTCAATTTGTAGTCCAGGCTGGTCTCAGACTCAAAATGGTCTTCCTGCCTCAGCCTCCTGAGTGCTGGGATTACAGGTGTGCACCAGCACACCCAGCTCGGCTTTGTTTATGCATTTGACAAGTTAGTGTCACGGGACAGGCTTGCCTAATGACTACTGGCTGGAATTGTCTCTGGGGTAAAGCAGCTTGATTGCTTTAGGCACTCACTGTTCATTCTGCCACTGGCCTTGGCCCCACAGTTGTGACCGATTTCCAGCTTCAGCTGCTCCCTGCAGTATTGGGGGCTAAACCGAGGGTCTTCTGCACACAGAGCGACGTTCTTAGCCCCTCTTTATGTTCCAGTTGGAGGCATGCCGTCACTAAGGCGCACAGGTGGGACTGGAGCGTGCCGCCCCGCCTCAGCTTCCTGCAGTGCGAGGGTTACTGGTGTGCGCCACGAGGGCCAGTTCACAAGATTTATTTTGACTCCCATTTTCAAAGGTGCCCATCCACGGTCCGCTGTCTCCAAGGCAGAGGAGGCACCGCGGGGCGGGGAGAGACCTGGAGGGAGGCACCCTCTTCCGGGCACACCTCAGCGACCCCGCCTCGAAGCACACTCGCTGTGCACTCGCCAGTGGGTTAGTCTGTCGCGGTTGGCACCCGTGACCCAGTCCCCTTTCAAGAGCCCCACCTCTGAGTAGAGGAGCTTTCGGGGGGGCACTGCGGACCCAAACATGAGTCTGCTCTTTCTGTGTCATCTGACCTGCTCAGAGCTGGGGCAAGGACTCAGCATTCGTGGGAAGTCCTTAGCACAGTCCCTGGCACTTGAGAGCCTTCTGTCACTGCTGTTTGCTCCATGAAACGATTTTTTTTTTTTTTTTGGTGTTTTTGAGACAAGGTCTCACTGTGCAGTTCAGGCTGGCCTTGAGCTCACTTTGTAGCCCAGGCTGGTCTGGAACTTGAAACGATCCTCCTGCCTCAGCCTCCCGAGTGCTGGGATTACAGGCGTGTGCTACCACGCCCGGCCATGAAATGATTTTTAATTTAATTTTTGTGGTGTTGGGGAACTGAACCCAGGGGCTGCAGGTCTTGCAGAGTTCCCTGCAGCGACCTTTTATCCCTGCACCAAGATTTGGTGTTCTGCCCGTCTGACCACACTGGAGCACTGTGCTGTGCTGGGGGTGTGTACTAAGTGCCATGGCCTCTGGTTGTGACTACCCAGAATGGCTACAAATATTGCCAGAGGCCCCTGGAGTGCGGAGTAGTTCCTACCTGAGCACCGCTTTGAAAGCCCAGACTGTCAGGGTTACCTAAGGTTGGTAAAACAGGAATTGAGGGGTGCCTTGAGATGGAATCCAGGTCTCTGACGTACGTCTGAAAACATAGCTTTCTGTATTCAATTTTTTTTTTTTTTGGAGACAGTCTTGCTGTGTAGTTCAGGCTGGTCTTGAACTTGCAATCTTCTCCTGCTAGCATCGTAGGCCTGCACTACCACCGCGCTCAGCTCTCTGCAGTATTTTTTGAGTGCCTACTGTGTGCCAGTAATAGAACGTGAGAGCTGAAGGGTCCATGAAGGGACCCGGGCAGTGAGTGGTTTCTGTTCACCATGCTGCCTCCTGTCCACAGGGCTAGCGTGGCGCCCCGAGGTCGGTAAGCAAGGAAGCCTTGGCTGACCTTGGCTGAGCATCCTGAAGAGGAGCACTTTGGCCGGGCGTGGCAGCGCGCACCTGTAATCCCAGCACTCGGGAGGCTGAGGCAGGAGGATCATTGTGAGTTTGAGACCAGCCTGGGCTACAAAGTGAGCTCAAGGCCAGCCTGAACTTCAGAGTGAGACCCTGTCTCAAAAAAGACAAAAAAAAAAAAACAAAAAAAAAAAACTAGCACTTTGCCAGGTGTGAGAAGATCGCATAGCCTGCCAGGTAGAGGAAGTATTTCTCTGTGGGTGAAGAGAACTTAATATGGATCAAGCTGGTGTGTGGGGACGGGGGGAGATAGATAATGCGAAGTCTGACCTCGGGTCCATGGGAGTGACTTCTCTTTATTTTTATTTATTTATTTTTTGGGACAGAGTCTCAGTGTATAGTGAGGCTGATCTTGAGCTCACTATATAGCCCAGGCTAGCCTCAAACTTGCAGCAGTCCTCTTGCCTCAGCCTTCCGAGTGCTGGGATTATGGGTGTGTATCACCATGCCTCGCGGTGACCTTTTTCTTTCTTTCTTTTTTTTTTTTTTTGTCTTTTTGAGGCAGGGTCTCGCAATGCAGTTCAGGCTGACCTTGAGCTCACTTTGTAGAGCTCAGGCTGGTCTCGAACTCACAACGATCCTGCCTCAGCCTCCCAAGTGCTGGGATTGCAGGCGTGCGCCACCACACCCTGCTAACTTTGTTTTTCTATGTTAGAAGTGAGTCGGAAGGGTTGCGGAATATAGCTCAGTGGCTTAAGTGCCTGCCTGGCAAACGCAAGGGTAGTGAGTTTGATCCCTGGTACCACCAAAAAAAAAAAAAAAAAAAAAAAAGTAAGTCCGTGCCAGTCGTGGTGGCGCACGCGTTTAATCCCAGCACTCAGGAAGCTGAGGCAGGAGGATCGTTTCAAGTTCCAGACCAGCCTGGGGTACAAAGTGAGCTCAAGGCCAGCCTGAACTGCATAATGAGACTCTGCCTCAAAAAGACAAAAAACAAAAACCAAAGAAGTGACTACGTAGGCGACGGATACCCAGTGAAATACTCTAGGTGCAGTGCGGCTGCCAGGAAAACAATTTGCCTTAAGCTTTCAGACCCCTCCAGAGCCGGCTTAGGTGTCTGCAGTTCCCGGGGCGGCCAGCAGGCGGGGGTCTCGTCCACACTGCGCGCCGGGCCGCCAGACTGGGCGGGTGCCCGGCGGAGCCGCCCGCTCCCCGCGGCTCTTGGAGGGCTGCGAGCCCGCTGCGCGCTGGGTGGAGACGAGAAGGCGCGCGCGCGTGAGGCCC